ACCTCTTTTATCATTTCTACTCCATTGGAGACCAATTCGACAACGAAAAGAGGCTCGTAATTTACACGTACCCCTGATCCTCGAACTGGCAAATTATACGTGTGTGCAACAGTTCAGGGGCCCCCGAAAAATTCAGGGGAGGATAATTCACACGTCGTCACGCCTCATCGAATTACATATCCAAAAGGGGGAATATAAGAATTACTACAATCAACTGATGCGTAGGAGGGTTCAATAACATCACATTCATGATAGAAAGTTGGAAATTGGGCAACAGGTAGTTAGTTTTAAGTGGAGAATTGAACGGTACTGACTAATTTCCTGAAGCAACACCTTTTTCACGCCTCAGGAAGTGTTTCATATGTATAGAGAGCGAGCAATAATTGTTTATGTCAGATAAAAAAGTTTGGATTGAGTTTTAGTTTTTTTTTTAAACCAATACCGAAAATTTTTATTCTATATTAAACGCAAAGGATTTTGGACGTTTCGAGAACTATTGGAGCATTACGGACCGTTTTTTTTGTCCATTTCCGATGAACTTTCTCAGTTTTTTTAATAACATCACTTATACCGAAAGAAAAACTTTCTTTTTAAAGAAGAATGTATGGAGATTTGGGGCATTCCGATGGGTTCCAGGGAAAAAGACTCATGAAACATCTAATTTTCAAGAGGCATGATGAGGAGTGAATTTAAAATGTAAATAGTTTGTGGCGAATAACGTCGAATTTTCAATTAATTGAAAATATACACGTATAATAAAATAATTTCTCCTGGTTTCTATTAATATTCACAGACCATCTATGTATGAACTTCAATATTCATAATTGTGCATTTTCCACGGACTTTTATTTGTCGAAGACATTTTCAATAGTTCCCTTATTTGAAAGATGAAAATCTCATTTTTTCCCGAAATTTCCACCTTGCTGTGAAACAAAATTCAGATGAAACCTCTCATTCATAACCACACGAAAAAAAAGCAACAATGGTTGCGACACTTTTCCACTTTTTTCCGCAAATTTTAGTGGAAAATTTGAAATGAATGCCAGGAAATGGCTTATTATCCGGATTTAAATGGCCACTGGGCCTTTTTTTTCAGACGGTCTAAGGATACCCGCGGTGCCCATTGGGTGAGATGCTAGAATGGGGTTCAAAAATTTATGGAATAACCGGAGAAGAGGAGCGGGCAGTTGCAATGGGTCTGCTCCTTGTTCTCATCCAGCCTGACCATCTGTTCTTCAGGGCTTGTTCAGGGAGGCGGTGGCACGCGGTTTTCTTCAATGTATACCTGGTCACTACACCCGCTTCCACCTGGTCTTCTCCCTGTTATACTTGTATGCCATCCATTACTTTCGTTTATCTTATTTTCACCCTGGCATTCATGGACCAGCTACTGACTACAATCGAGTCCCTCTGGGATTTCTCTCTCTCTCGTTCGTGCCGACACCAAATGCACGCGTGTTCGGTTAAATGGCCTCTTACTCTCGTTCTACAACTGATCGTTGAGATTCCTGTGTTTCTTTTCGGGAATGTCTCAGGTGAAGATATATTGAAGAAAGTTGAGAATCTTAAGGCTCTGGTTTTGTTCGAATTGGTGATGAATTTTGACGGTTTTATGCCCTGTGCAGGAATGGCAGTATTGACAGCCAGTTTCCTGTTGATTCTTGAGTAGAAATTATTGCAATCCGCTGGTAGAACCAGTTTATATTCGCTATTGGTTTTCTTTTTTCATTCAGAAACACTTAGAATTCGATGATAACTCATAGATTCATTGCAATTTCATAAATAAAAGCTTATAATATTTTTCCGGTAATTCTTTCAATTTTAGCTTCAACTAAAAAACGCGTTCAATGGAATCTACATTTTATTGTTTAAATTTAAAACTTTGGATTAGCAACCTGAATTTCAATATGAATTGAAAATGATGTTGTAATATGATAAAATTGTGAATTTAACGTTTTATCTTAATAATATAAATATACAAAATAAGATAAATATAATTATTAAAATTGAATGAAATATTCTTAATTTCTTGTCTACCTAACGTTTTCATTAAAATGTATATTTTCCTTCTATTCTAACAGTCTTATCGACTTCTTAACGATCACTATGAGTGATAACCCGCACGAACAGCTCTATTTCAGCTCTAGTTATTGCCCAATCAAAGGTCGACACATCGGAAACTAAAATGTGATCAACGCTAAGAACTGATCAAATTTAAGTAAATTAAAAGAAATCAGAGTACTGAATTCTGGCCTGCGATTATAAAAATATCAGTTACAACAGAAATCCACCCACACAGTGTGACATCATCGATGCATATTAGTGTCCTCGTCAGACTATCATTTAAAAAAAAATAAATAAAAAATAGTTCAGTTATTCCTTGAGTGAATCACAGGGTCAATGCAAGCAAAATGTACACATGCCCCCGAAGTGATGAATAGTGGTTTATTGATGTTCATTAGAACGGGTTGATGAAGAATGATTTCCCTACACTTCATTCGTCATTCCTCCTCAATTAACTCCAAGCATAGTAATTTACTTTCCACTCCAGACTATTCGGCGAGTTAATTCCTTCCGCACCGCCCATTTCGAACAACTAAGTCTCACGGTAATGATTGCACAGCAAAAATATCCACATATAGCGTTAAGTTATTGGTAATCGGATAAGATAAACTGTATGAAATGCAATGCCAGAGGACTTTAATTACTTCGATATGGGCGAGGGTGGTGCTAAGGTCATTGACTTCAAGCGAAAACTCTCCTCGAGCCCTCGAATTACCATCTCGATCCTAAACTCACACTCAGTTCTACTCCTCATTGAATTAAACCCCACGATTGCTATCAGTGTTACTCAATCTTTTGATTATACTTGCACTCGACGATCGTACTGATGTCAGTGAGTTCATGGGATCGATGGGCCAACAGTGATAGTATAAGACCTGATTTTACTATTTCTTTATCAATAAAAAATGAGGGAGAAAAATCCTGTATATTATTTTGCCCTGAAAATATCTTGATAATTACACTCTCTGTATTATGAGATTAGTTAACCCGACATGATAACTAATTGCTGCTCCAAAAATTGGAAGACATTGTTTGGCAATGTTGAATTGCTTAAATTATTTACCTTGTGAAAATAAAAGGAGCGCCAAAATAGCAGCAATCCTGAGAGTCTGCATGTTGCTAATTTATCTTGAGATAAATTCCACGGGGAAAAAATTCCGAGAGCTTCCAATAAAAACTATAATCCGTCGCACCTGCACCACTTTTCTGTCAAATTATTAGAGACCACACCGGTCGTTGTTCGGTGGGTATCAAAGGCACCAGAATAAGGCGAGAGGAAACAGGAGAAGAGAATGGACCGAAGAAAAAAACTTTTTTGGGGGATAATCCACGGACGGTTACGCGATCGGACTGTGCCACCGATTTGAGGTGGGACTAAATACAAACTGAGAGGAGCCACGGTATATTCCTGGCGAGTTGAAAGAAACGCGGGCTCGAGCTGTTCCTTCCCTCCAGCCCCACCCGCCATCACGCTGCGCGGGGAGTTGTGCGCAGGTGATTCAATTGCACATTCAAATAAATTATTAAATCGAACCGAATATTATGAAGTCATTATCGATATTTTCTCGTTTTTCATTAAAAAAAAATATTGCGTTTTCAAGTTTCATCATTATTTGCTAACTCACCAATTTTCATAATCATGTGCCCAGTTTTCTAGGTTTAAATGAAATTTCGGGAATTTTTTGCGAAAGTTGAAAAAGTGGGAAAACTCGTCTATGATGATGGAGCATTCTGAGACACTTAAGGATTTTTACCCTTTCAATTGAGCAGCCGTGTCGGAAAAGCTCATTTTAGAATTGACGAATCATTCATTGAAATGCCGAATCTTGACTGGAGATAAAACGAGAGAAATTTTTTTCATTAATTGTATCACTTTGCAGAGTGAAGATGATTATCCTTTTGTTTCTGGAAGAAGACACTTCCCCGTTAAATTGGTGTTCTCTATGACAATGAATAAGTTACAGGGGCAAACTTTCGAACGAATCGGAATTGATCTCAGACGCAATATTTTCAATCATGGACAACTTGATTATCACAATAACTTTCCTTATCATGTGTTCATTCATGGAACTCGCTAAAAATCGACCTCGGAAGCTAAAAACGAAAAATTACGTCTACACAGAATTATTCGCAGAAAAATAACTTATTTTAATGAATAACTTTTAAAAATTCCCATTCTCATAAATCATTCGTAAATGCATGTGAAAACGGGAATTGAATCAATGTCCCAACCACTTTAGCAGCCAACGCTAGTACACTTGAATTCAAATGAAGATGAATTGACATCAGTCGGTCAAACGAGTTTCGATCTTTCCCAATTCCGATTTTTAAATGGATTCCACTTTTTTACTAACCGACCAATGTTGACAAACAAAAATTAAAAACATCAATTTCCACACAGGTAATGCAATTAGTCTCACCCGTCTCACCAGATAATAAAATATAAATTATTCAGTTAAATGTTAATGTGGAACGATGAATGAAACCAATATGGTTTTCCATGAAGTTGAGAACCCCTCAAGGTTTTCTCTGTCATCGGAGACCACCTGTTGCAACTGAACTATTTTTTTTTAGTCTACCGGCATTCCCTTGGAAAATCCGTCGGGTCACATGCGAATATTCCAGAGCCAATGAAAAATAACAAATCAAACAGCAGTGAGGCCCACTAATTTGCAAAACCAAATGCATGAACAGCAGTCCCAAAAGGCCCAGTGCTCTCCGCGTGCCTCAAAGAAAATCAAAGTTGATTACTTCTACCTCGATTGCGTAATTCCCCTGACAATCTTTGGAATGCCTTGAGTTTCCATCAGAAATACTTAAACAAATGATCGACAGCTCTTCAGGGTAACGATGAAGAACGAAAGCTTTTAGATATCTACTGTATCGACGTCCCATTGTTTATGTTTTCATCAGCCATGTGTGATACACGTCAGAACGAATCGTGTTCTTCGGATTTCATTGAAAATTCCTGTATTCCAAGTATAACAGTTAAATGGGGTTCACACACGTTTGAAATTAAAGATATCTACGATGACACAACGGTCCGGGATCTCAAGCAGAAAATATTCATGAAAATTGGCATTCGACCAGATCGGCAGAAACTGCTTAACCTCTGTAAAGGTAAATCCTCCCACAGAAAATTCATGATTCACTTCCATGATCATCACATCCCTTTATCTTCATCCTCATCTCTATTTATTCATTCACAATTTAAAAACAAGTGTTTTGTTTTCCAGGAAAATTACCAGATGATAATCAAACAATTGGCGAACTGAATCTAAGGTCAGGCTTCAAACTAATAGTCATGGGATCCAAAGAGGAGGACATCATCGATTCTGTTTACAGTCTTCCCGGAAGTTTGAAAATGATAGAAAGTCGTCAACAGTCTCGGAAATGCAGTCATTCAAGGACGCAAATTGAGGAGTGCAATCCAATGCTTCCTGAGAGGAAGAAGATAAGAGGAATTACTAATCCTGTGGACTACGAGATTTACCTCACCAAGATTCAGCAAAAAATTAGAAATGGGAGGATCAAGCAGCTGGAGCACATGGACAGCAGTAAGAAGCTCCTAGTTATTGGGATAAACGATGGGTTATCTAGCATCAAGCTAAATCGTCAGGGGATGCATGCCTTTTTGACTCAGGCGTATCAACACTACAATATAGCCATCTGGAGCTGTTCAACATCGACGTCAATCAGGAGAACACTTCTGGCACTGGCTCACAAGCAAAAGTACAATATCTGTCTTTATTTGGATCAGAACTCGATGATATCGACATTTGAACCCAATTATGGATCTATCTGCATCAAACCTCTTGATATAATTTGGATGAACTACACCAATTGGTCTGAGAAAAACACTATTATAATTGAGGACAAGTGGTTAAATGTTTTCATCAACGAAGAGTCGGCTTTGATCATCAGAAGGATGAGCGGTGGAGGCAGTTTCGATAATAATCTGCTTCTTGAGAAAATTGGGGAGTATCTCAAACTGATTGGTGAGCTCAGTGATTTCAGAGTACTCAATCATAAAAAGTGGATTGATTATAAGAATCAGGAGAGTCGGAAGAGGTTCATTGAGAAAATTGGGCCCCTGCCTGATGAAAGGGAGATTATTAGATTTCTAAATGGTAATTTTATACTTGCATAACCGTGTAATTAAATGTGTAATGTCATGCGATATTTCAAGTTAATGGATTTTTATTTCTACAGGAGACCAAAGATTTGAAAAATATAATTCTAGTTCCGATAACGAGTACATTCCGGGAAATACAAAACGTATGAAGCTGGAGAGTGATGATAGTTTTTACGATAAGATTGAGAGGAAATGCGAGGAGTATAGCATCAAGGAATTGAGTCCCCTGAATCAGCAGAAAAAGCTGTTGGTTTTGGACATTGATTATACTCTATGTAATCCAGATTGCCGACTGGCACGCCCTTATCTCCACGAATTCCTGGCTAAAGTGTACAAGTATTATGACATTGTCATTTGGGCTGGCTCCAACAGGAATTGGACGTATGGAGCTCTGACTGATCTGAATATTCTAATAACAAGAATCTACAGGATTGCCTTTTATCTTGACGAGCAGGCAATGATCCCAGTGGAAACACCAAAGATTATTGGCTCCATTAATGTCAAACCTCTTGGTCTCATCTGGAGAAAATATGCGAGCTATTCAGCTAGAAATACCATCATCATCGATGACGAGAAGAGCAATTTCCTCATGAACCCACAGTCTGGATTGGAGATCCAACCTTTTATACTGAATCAGGCAAACTGCACTGATGATGCCGAACTACAATTCTTGACAGAGTACCTGGAGCTCATAGCTGAAGTCGAAGACTTTCGGACCCTCAATCATAAAGAGTGGAGGGACTACAAATTATTCCATAATAAACGGGACACAAAGAAGAACTAGACACTGATATTCATAGGATGCGAGTTTTTTTAAGAGTATTAACAAAGGAGAGACAGTCTCCCGACTGAAGTCCTACCTCGAATCTACCTCATTGTTTCTTAATTAAGGGTAGAGTTCATGTGGAGATGACTGAACTGTCGTTCTTTTAAGTGCTGACTGCAATATAAAGGGATACATTTTCTATTTGAGACTTATATTCGAACAACTCAATCAGTCCGGAATAGTGTGAAATTTTTCGTTAAATAATTCCTCGTGAATTAGTGATGACGGAAGTAATGAGATTTTTGCGTAATAAAAATCATTACAATTTTTTGCATAAACTTGTTCTCTTTCCTACTCCATATTTTCACTTGCTTTTTTATTATGAGCCCAACATTTATTATCCAAGTATACGAACGATTCTCTGGAATTTTATAAATAAATAAAAAATGTATTGAACATTTTTAATTCAAATTGAATTTAAATCCATATAATGGAAGATTCAGATGACTTTATGACGGAAATTTTAAGACATTTTTAACAGTGTAATATCAATATCCCGAAATTTTCGAATTACCCGCCAGAAATACTCTCGCCACCTATCGCCGACCTCCACCACCTCTCCTCAAAGCTTTTCACCCATTGGTGGTGAATCACCAATGAAATGCCATTATAAAATTTTTTTTTGATGAATTTTAGAACGCCACGGGACAAAGGACGCCCGAACGTACGCAAGCAAGCGACGCCATATTCATTTGTCAACGGACCTTACAACGCATCGGGTTAATCGATAAATTTTACGTTACACGATAGATTAAAAAACCCATACCAAGTGATTATTACTAATCGAATCGTACCGTTTAATGGAATAGAGTAATGAAGTCGTCGGCAGAATTGGAAAAGAGAAAACGGGAGGAATATGAGATGCAATTGTTCGGCTTTCACTCGAGAATAGTTTATGATACTTGTAAGACGCCGAGAAATTCACCTAATTTCATTCCACCCAGTTTTCTCCACATTTACTATTATTTATTATTTTTCACAGATTTATTTCGTCTTTTGGTTTTTTATTTTCAGATTTGTGATCCTTATTTTTGTTTTGATTGTTGGACGCGTGAGCTCTAGTGTCATGTGTAATTAGAATCATGACTAGAGTCACACTCGTCCAATGATTGGAATTTTATTCTTCATTTGTTGTTTTGTTTATTTTATCTGATTTTGCATTAATAAATTATTTTCCTATCCCTTTCCCGTTTTAATACCCGAAAAATCCAATCGATAATTTGACGTTATTTCTTCACGTCTGAACGATTCTTCATGACTACTCATGTAGAGCATCTCAATTTACAGTACTATCCCTGATACAAGAAGAGATTCAATTAAAATGTCAACAACTCACAGAAACAATCAAACAAAAATATAATCCCGATGAGGAGAGCCTGAGGATACTACTGAAGGATGAGAAAAAATTGACAAAGTGTTATTATCGTGCAACTAGAACTCAGTTGCCAGCGCTCGAGGTTACTAACTTTTGACCTAACTTATTGGCAATATTTTTCATTCTCACTTCATAGTCATTTCCTTACATAACGCTCAATCGATACATTAATCATGGGTAATAACAAATGATACTTACACATTTGGATGAATTATTTCATTTCAGAATTGCGTGAGTAAGATTATTTCTGTCCCTTCTCATGTGCTGCTAGATGAGGATAAAGTACAGGCGGTTCAATACAGTGACAGAGAGCTCAGAGAGAAGCAGGAGAAACTGGAAAATTTACAGAAGAGATTAAAAAAGGTGAATTATTCCTCATTCTAAACTATACGAACAATCAATTATTGAAATAGAATGAGAAAATGTGAATTGTCAAATGATAAAGTTTGTTCATTATTATTCAGGCATTATTACTTTGAAATGGAAAATCAATTACTTTCTTTGATTCTTTCAGGCTGTTGCGTTTAATGCAGTACTCAAAGACGAACTGACACTGGCCAATGACTTTGAAAATAAAACCGAAAATACTGATATGCTATGCAAAATGATCGGAGATGCCTCCCAGGGTCCAGACTACACTAAAACTCTTCTGAAATTATTTGGCACTTACCAGGATTTAAAGAAACAGCTCCTGAGTGTGCGAGAAGCTCCCGATATTCATGAGCAACGAATTTCTCACGATGTTCAGGACGAGTTTAGTATTGATGATATTCACAACATTAATTATTGAAAAAAATGAAAAAGAAAGACTAACCAATCTTCCTAACAGTTTTAAATTTGTATATAACTCACGAACTAATGAAGCATCAGTATTTTAATACTCTACTAACACAAAAAGAATTAATGTGAAATTTTTTCAAATATATTTTGAATAAAACTAGCCTGGAATTGTTTCTTTTACGATCTGTACGGTAGAAGTTGCAGACAAACTTCACTGGACTTTTTGTCTTGGCGTGTTTACTTCATTTAAAATGTATCTAAAATGTTCTCTCTCAATTTTTTTCCGAGAAATCTAGAGGGCACCGGAGGCTGTGATTGGCCAAAAGGGCTGGTGGCAAATGGGGGGGTTTCTTGGAATTTGAAATCGGAGGGATGTCTCGAAATCGCGCTCATTCCCACTTCAGTCGAAGCTCGCGATTATGGAGAATCAGATCGAAGTTGACTGTTTCGAGCATATTTTTATCATTCGATTCTTTCCATTTTTTTAACCACAACATTTTTTAAACGGTCTCCAGCACTAAAAATATATTTTTTTTATCTCCTCGAGAAATTGCAACTGCATTAAAATCGGTGGAAGTAATCTCTTCGTAATCAGTGAAGATTCATATTGCTCGAGAAGATATATCGAAAGCTGTGGATATTGAGTCGAGATTTTAATTTTAAAAACTTGAGTGTACGAAGGTTTGAGATTGAATAGAGGATGAGTGAGGAAGTGAAGTTAGATCTAGACGACGAGTGTCGGGTGACAGCTCGTTTGTTGAACCTGATGAAGGAAACACATTACGAGCTCATTCAGGAAAATGGACAGCGTCGTTTGACAGCTCCAGAACTCACCCCAGAAATCAGAAGTTCAATCAAGGGGGCAGAAGTTTTTGTTGGCCGTCTGCCAAGGGATTGCTACGAGGACGAAATAATGCCGATGCTAAGCCGAGCTGGGAGACTCCTGGAGCTTCGTCTGATGCTGGATTTTTCGGGGACGACCAGAGGCTACGCATTTGCTCTTTTTGAAAATTCTAGGGTTGCACGAAAAGCTTGCGAGATGCTCGATGGCCAGATGATTCGTCCTGGACACAAAATCGGTGTCGTCAAGTCCATCGACAATTGTCGACTCTTTTTCGGTGGTGTCCCCAAGGATAAAACCAAGGCCGAGTTTTCGGAGGAGTTGGGCAAGTTCCTGGAGGGGATTTCTGATATTTATTTATACCCGAGTGCTCAGGATCGCTCGCAGAACAGGGGGTTCATCTTTGTGGAATTCAAAGATCATCGTTCGGCTGCTATGGCCAGACGTCAGTTGATTCCTGGACGCGTTACTCTGTGGGATCATGAGGTTGCTGTCGACTGGGCTGATCCTGAACCTGGAGATCCCGTCGATGATGATGTTATGGAGACGGTAAGTTTATTGAATCGTCTGGTAAAAGGTTTATTGTATAATTACAGTATTTTTTTTTTAATGCAATGTTTTTACTAACCAACCGGCGATTCAAGAGTCATCCACACGGTAGTTGATGATGAAATTATCCGATAGCCAAAAAATCTAAAATTTTCGGGGGTGGACAGCAAATTTTTATTTTTAGACTGATCTGTGTAGTCTTTACATATCTGTCATAAATATTGATGTAGCACATATAATTAAAAAAACTATCTATTATTATTATTATTATTATTAATTGATAACTCTCTCTCCACACAGGTTACTGCGCTCTTCGTTCGCAATCTGCCGATCGAGATTGCCCATCATAAGATTAGAGACGTTATCCAGAAAACCACGGGAATTCCAATTCTTAAATTCAAGAAGATCAATCACTTTGCTTTCATCCACTACGAGACGCGTGAGTTGGCTCAGAAAGTTCTTGACATTATGTCTCGTAAGTAATTTTATATGTCCTATAAAACTTCAGGAGATAGTTGTCTATGCAACTCTCTGAGAGAATTCTTCAAGCTCAAATGCATCAATTATTTTCAATTTTCGCAACAGAACCTGGAGGAATAGCTGCACAGAACGAATGGGAAATTCGCTGGGCAAAGCCCATCAGTTCATCAAAGAGCCTTGAAAGACAGAGATCGATTCATGAGGCAGTGCAAGCCTCCCTAAACCAGAATCAGAACGTTAAGCTTCCAGCTTACGTCCCACCAAAGAGCAGCAACAAACGTAATCGACGAAAAGCCAACAAGCAACAGGTGGAGGCTCTCCCTTACGAGATCGGACACATACCTCAGGAAGACCAAAACAGTCTTCCCGTTATGAAGTTACCAGAGACATTTCTTGGAGTACCTCCACCAGGATTCGCAATGCCAAACCATAATTTTATGGATTTCAAAAAACTCTTGGAGGATTTCGTCAGCAAGAATTTCAGAGCTCACTGCCAGTTTAGCTGCATGCAAGTGTATGCTCCCCCTGGATATGTCTGCACGGTAAATAAAGATTTAGTTCTTCTTTAAACCAAATCCTTCATATGTCGTTTAGAGTTTGAAAATCTACAGTTACATGATTTTAAATGACAATTGTTAGTGATGAAACATTTTATAGATCATTTCATATGGATTGGTATGGAATTCCAGTTCATTTATGGTTGAAAAAACGATTTTCATGCCCTTCAATTGACCGATTTAAATCTATAAATTGATCGCAAATAATTTTTTCTCTTTCAAAGATTTCAATTGTGCATGAAGAGCACACACTCTGTGAGTTTCAAGGTAATGTAATGATCACTGAGGCCTTGGCAATGAATATAGCAGCTCGAAAAGCCTATTATCGACTCACTAATGACTTTGGAGAGTCACAGGTCTATCCAGTTCCGGTCAATCCACCGACAGCTTTTATAGCGGGTAGAGTTCAGTCTTGCCACTAGACAATGATTGTCTCCCGGCAATTTCTTCATTTTTACTGTTTAACTCTCTTTTCACTTTTACCCTATCTGGTAAAGTCTTTTTTTATTTTTTGAAACATTTTTTACGTAGGGGATGAATTGTATTCATTTTTAAGATTTTTAGGGATTTAATATGATCACTCTGTAGATGTAGATGATTAGTTTTAGTGAATGCTGGGAGGGTGTTGGAGGGATTAAAATGTAGTTTATAGCATTGTTGTGAGAAAAACATCTGCAGAGGTGTGGCAAATAGTAAATGCTGCGTTTTGAACGAGCTTACCGAGTATTTTGGAAATATCTCCTTTGAAACTGAGAGCGTTTCGTTAAAGCTTTTATGAAAAAGAAGAAAATCTTTTGCAATTTTTATTTCTGAATGAAATTATTTCAGAAAAATTTGTCAAATTCTCAAGCTACAATTTGTCACTCCATTTATGATAATTACAGACTGATTTCATATTAATCATAGTTATTAAAGAAGGAGTCTTGGAGGATTCCAAAAACGCCTGACAGCGTTTTATTTGAAGTCGATTCTATGCATATTTTTATTTAAAAAGCACAAAATGGATGACAAAAATATTAGTTAAAATTCATATTTTGTATTGCTACAACTAAATTAAGACGATTCAATCATTGTTAGTTTTTATATCGTCATAATATTCATTAGCTACTGAGATCACAAGAGTCTCATCCACATAAATATTTGACCAGTTCCTAAAATACTCAGACTCACTAATCATTGTTTATCAAAAAAGGAATCTGCGTATATAAAAAAAAAAGAGTAAATGGAATAAGTGATGGTTCAATGAATTCTCAACACATAAAGACAATGTGATGCTACTATAAGGATGTACTAATAATAATAATACACAAAAAAAGATTAAAAATATTTCCAACAAGCCTTGGAAACTAAGAAAAAATGTACATGTGAAGCTAATAATCAATATTTTTTCTAAAAAAACTTCCATTGTTTTCTCTCGAAAAGACCCATCCTAACGTCCGGCGATGAAAAACACCTGCTATTTATAACAATAGCAAGCGTAAATCAATCTAAAATATGCGAGACCTCGAGCTCAACGTCCACTCTCATTTCTTCTTGGCATTCGTTACTTGCAAGTTAAAGTCTCACGAACCCATTTGAAAAATTCTATTTCAGGCGTTGCTCAATCTTTCAATTGCTGAGACATCTACAAAAATCGTTTGACCTCTGGCATGACTAATTAAAACCAGTGCAGCATACATCTACAATTCAATGAATTAAGCACTAGAATTGGAACACTCAATACAGTCCTAGTTAAGTTATAGAAGTTTATGTTGTTGTAAATTGTAATTTACTTGATATTCTAATTTTCACATTTGCTCTAATTATTTCGACCTTCAGAGTTATTTAATCCAATTAACGCTTTAATTTTCCCAGCATTGTGGGGATTTCAATCTGTCGTAAAACTGGAGCATAACTCAATGAAAATTCATCCCAGAATCTAAATTCGAGAATTTATGATTTTACTGCATACCAAGCTAGGCATGAAAGGCTGCACATACACTTATGGACAACAAGTGGGTGTAGTTTCTGGTACATTCAGTTGTACCAGGGTGTGGCATTAACAACAGTTCTCTTGTCTCATCGAAGGCTGAGAGCCTTGAGTACTTATTATCTATATTCATGTGATGCCACGATAAGTATAAACGAATGAAGAACGTTAGGCATTTATTGATGTCTCTTCGCAAATTGTTATTAATAACGCTTCATCAGTCGGATCATCTGCCATATTATCTGTCCGTAAGAGTAATTAGAGTAACGTACGTTACAGTCATAGAATGCTGATAGATAACACTTTCATAAATATATGGATACTGAGAGTTCGGTAAAAGTCGAATATTAAGTTATAAATTTTTTGCTACGATCTTGGTTCCTTCCTCATAGCCTTTGCGACCGCACAATGATTAATCATCGTTACTTCCAGGCATGACTTGAAATGATAATTAATTCAATGAAAAATTAGTTGAATTCGTTTTTTTTGATAATATCCCAAGTTTTACGTTGGTGAACACTTTCGAGTGGAATTCGTCCTGCGATTGTACAAAATTTTGAATAATTTAGTCAGTAGTTGGGGGTGAGATATCCTTTCATTGGGTTTTTCCTCTCTTTTATTCCTCACCCAATGTTGCCAAAACTATTTTTTTCCTTGTGTTTGTTATCAAGAAGAAGTTGTCGGAATATCATGTATCGAAAAATAGAGTTGGCAACAGTCCGATTTGTTCGTTCCAATGCGAAAATAAACGTCGACGGAGAAGTTTCCATGCCTCAAATTTCATCCCAAGTTTCAATTCTCTATTCAAACTTCACTCTCTTCTTGCATTCTCCATTTATGCGGTAATTAAACAATGGAATATTTATACCACAACTATCGACAATTGCATGGAAAATATACGATATGTGCATGAATGAATCATCAGTGCATATATGACTCATTGACAAGAGCGTACAAACATAATATTGGATATAGAGCGCGTGAATATATGGAAGGCCAGGGTCGATCTATATATTCCTCTGCTTGGGTACAGATGCACTCGGTTTGAGCTACCAACATCATTTCTTCATTGAATTTCCTCTCCTTTTCCTCTCCCTTTTCTCGAGAAGACCTTTACAAAAGGAGGGAACAATGATATCAATCATCTGGTTATTTGCTCCGATCTTTTATCATATCGTACTGTTTCTCCGATTCATCATTACAAGCTCTTTGTTCAGATTTTTTGCAATAGAAAATCAATTGGACCTAAATTACGTGATTCTATGCATGACTTAACAATTTTCTATTTTCCAGTGATTACCCAGATTGCGATGAAGATTTAGTGACGTCTTGTAATAAGTTATGAAATCACTGTTCAAGGTTCCTGACATGTTGATTAGGAATGAAACAATGAAGGAGTACTGAAGTACCACGTGCATCTCTCATCATTTAGACGCACCAGCACTTATTAATACTCAATGGTTGGACTGTCAATTGAAAAGTCAAGAAACATTACGTATGTCTCTGGATTATTCCACCGATTGACAACAATGCCTATTTATTCAGAAGTTTCGTATTCCAATCGTTACTCGTAACTTCATCTAGATTTCCGCCGGTTTCCTTGAATTTCTGATAACTCGATAAGCAAGTTTCTCCACTCCATTATACCATAGCAGTCAATAAAGACCTCTCCTGAATGTTGGATTTATGCTTTTGTGAATAATTGGAACAACATCGGCAATTCATTGAATTAATTATCATCAATTACAGACTAATTCCTTTCAAGAAAAAAAAAGAGAATTCATCTTGTAGTATTTCCTCATAATTTTTCTTTGGAGGCCAACCAGTCCTCGGAATGTATAAATTAATTACAGCTCCGTTATCAACAAAAAAAACCCTTCAATTCACTTTCACTGCTTTTCTCTAATGAGTTTTAATTAACTACTGCGATTTACCAGAAAAACAACGAGACTACTTAAAGAGTGTGTGGAACAATCTCACACATCAAGATTGTAATTGCATTCGCTGAAATTAATTAAAACCTTACAACTGTATTATGCTCCCCAGGTTGAACAATAATTGTTTTGTTAATTACTGAGACTTCCCAGTCTCCAAACACTGGTAGAAGTTTAGAACTAGTAATTTCAAATTGATCGAAAATAATTTAAAAATACAAACGCTGAAGCAATCAAAGAATTTAACCTTGATTTATTATAAATTATCAATTTATAATTATTATTTTGACAACTAGCATCATATGTATGCAATGTCAGTAAGAATCTAAATCCTTACATATATATACAAAATAATAATGATATCAAAATTTATGAAAGAATATTTGTAATTTAAATGCGTGGGAAAAAATGTCGAAAAGTGGCACTTGTATCACAACAGAGTGGGAGGCTTATCCAGACAACATTTTTCGTCAGTACCATCTAATAGTTGACATCAGCAATTGCTTGATAAATAGTCGATTAGCCGGCACTGTTCTATATAGGAGCTAAGTGAACTTGCTTCCTTTGTCGACTCGAATACTAAATACAAGCACGTGGTTGCAAGTTGACGTTAGTACGTTACGTTAGGGTGGATAATGGAAGGCATTAAATGGATTGGGAGTGGGGAAAAGTGGGGGTTCTCCTGGTGTATTCCATCAGTTGGTCGTATAAAACGAATGAAGCGTCACACAAAAAAGCCACTCCCTGCACGACTGCACGTGCAGACACAACAGTAACCGCTCTCTCCGATATTTTATTTCCTCTTCACGTTCCTATCTTTTCATTCAGTTTCTTCAGTTAATTTTGAAATAATTGTCCCAATTCCATGACGACATGTGAGAGCATTCGAGCCACCAGTGACCATCAGTGAAAATCTCCGATCGACACGAGCGCTGAAAGTTTAGTGGTGTTTTGTTAGTGAAAATAATATATATCAGATATTGTGAATGAGGGAAAATCGAATTACTGTGACGCACTGTGTGAGGAGAAAGGTGAAAGCGAGATATTGTGGATTTGCCGAACCTCAAGGAGTAATAACTGAAATAAGGAGAAGATTATGGGGATTGTATCGTCTACATTCGTTTCACTCGCCATTCAATTCGCCTGGAACTTCCAGAGATTTCTCGATCCACGATACAGGTTTGTATTGTTTTCTTCTTTTCATTGATCTTCTCGCACTTTTTGGAGAAATCGTTTGGCATTTGTCCACGTCATCGCATATTGATTAGTTTGCGGAATGTTGTGAGAAGTTATGCGTATAAAATTGTTTATTTTCTTCTATTTTTGTCGGGCTTGTTTATTGCCACTGGGAATACCATTTACCCTTGTAACACGATTTAATCCGTTGATCTATCGATATAGTATTCATAATATTTATCTCTCACTTTAAATTGCTGACGTGGAATATCACTATTTGTCGTTTATGCGAATAAATTGTGGGAACAATTTTCTTCCTGGAATTTGCTCGTGATTGAGCCCGGAAATCCTTAGTGGTGAGGAAAGTTTTGAGCTTGCGGATTTGTCAAATGATATTATCTCAACTGATATATTATTTATTCTGGAAGGGATTCCTTCAGAATGCAAAAACAACGAATTTCATGATGAGAATCTCCAGTCATTGAATATTGAAGATAATCAATTCTCAATTAATTGAATGAATCAATTCGCAATGAAATCAGGACGGAAATTCATCAGTAAAAAACTCGAATTATTGAGCAATAATTATGCTGCACATCAGCTTTGCATGCACATTCCGATTTCGTGCTGATGGAGTGATTAAGAGTTGCTTGTGATTAAGTGGCTGAATTGTTGGTGATAACGAATGATTTGTGATAAAGGAATTTTTGTGATTGATTATGCTAAATTCACAATATTATTATTATTAGTAATCTCGAATTACCCAAGGTACGATCCCTACAATTTGATTCCCCTTCAGAGTTAAAAGATCTTTACAATGGATGAAAAAAGTGAACTTCACTCTAAGGCTCTGGGAGTCTCTGAAAATGAGAACTACCTATTCCTCAGTCCCTCATTCGATTCATATCTCATGAGAATAAAATGAATAGAATCTATGGAAATGAAGTTTTGCAGACTTCTTGGTAAGGAGAGTCTTCATCTAAAGAAATCGTAGAGAAAATTCGCTTTTTCTTGTTTTTTAATTCTACTTTTTCATGTTTTCATCTATTCTAGTTTTCTTCATCTATTATATTCCAAATTTAGTCGATCATGTGGGAAGAAAATATTCCAATCAGACGTTATTAAACTTTCAAGATGAATGCAGACGATCATTGGGAAGTGAATTACTAATTTATTGAAAGTTCAATGACATCTACTATAATACGAACCCTTATCATTTCCTTAATTGAATCTGTTGAAAAAGTCCCTTCTTCCTTATGTGATGGTAAAATCAATTTGCATTCCCATTTACTCACTCTCGTTGCGTCTTGAGTCTCTGGAATTCAATTTTCGTAGAAAGATATTCCACCAGAAATTCTTGCGTACTATTTTTCCATGGGGGTTAAACGAGTATCCGGTAAAACTCGAGACACTCATTGTCTCTTGGTTGTAACCTCCTTTTTCCCATCCCGAGAGGATTGTATAACCGTTTGTATGCCGGTATTTTTAGTGCTTGTGCTCTGGATCCGGAAAATCGGTAGTCAGACATTCAAGTTCACGGCTTCCCCCGTCAATAAACAAACATTCATTTTCTGGCATGAAATGTAGAAGGCCATCATCGGCACTCACACTAGTTCCTATTTTTAGAAATTACAAATCCAGATCATCTTTCTTATCAATGTATGACTCATTCCACTATATTTAAAGGATAATCTTCCATAATAAGCAGGAAATGACAGTGTAAAGAAGGAATTTGAGTTCATGCTCATTAAAGCGAAGACAATTGTTCAGAAATAGTAGAGCAGAGAAAACACCTTGAGAAAGTATCCTTTAATGAATTTCCGGATGTTATAAAAAAAAATTCGAGTACTTGGGGTTTATTCAATTCAAATCAATTATTTAAAAAATAGGTACTGAACCAGAAATGCTAGAGTGGATTCAAAAAAAAAAATTGGCAACGTGGAGCTTCATCAGCTTTTCAGCACGAATATTTAACAATTACATCGTATAATCGCCTTAATTGGCTCGGAACTACTTTAAGTGCACATGTACTTGGCATCAGCTTCATACACATGTAGATTGAAAAGCGGCTATTCCTACGCTGCAAATAAGGGCCCCCACCCTATTATATTTCACATACCTTGTATTTGTACGTACCAGTTTCGATGTACAACACTCTTTTTTCCGTTCACACGTAATTGGCGTTGTAAAAAATGTTGATATTGTTTTCATTATAAATACAGGTGATGTGGAACGTTTCCAATGTCAGACATATGTCATTTTTTATGGATTACTCTTCTTTTTTTATTTTTATTATTTTATTACTTCTCGTGCAATGAAATAATAAACCAACTGACTTTCACTCTCTTGCGTGGTACATTATAAGAGCCCACGTGACGTGAATTCTTGGCAGCGAATTTCTGATGCGTGTTCTCTTCTATGAAAATTTTTGGGATGCGAAATAAACTGTAATTACGTAAATTTAGAGACTATCAAAATAGAGATTATTGATTATTTTTACGAATATTTTCACTGAGTATTGATAATGCTCCAGATACTTGAAGTGATATCTATTGTTTCAAACTATTCTAAAGTTCGTAGAGTAACTGAGTGTTAATTCTAGCAAATCGCATAATATGAGACACTGTCACTTTATCGGTGAATTTTTTTCTTTCCCTAAGCCTCAATGATTATGGATTAAAGCTATCATGATGCTGATTACGGGTGATAGTGGATGACCTTGTCAATTAATGCGACAAGCTCTCACGCGAAAGTTTACGGTTTTTGTCGAGTTTCTCGTGACCTCATGTCCCTACTTTCTACATCCAGGTAATTTTCAGCCTTGAATTAAAAAGGAAAAGTGTTTAGGAATAATTTGTTAAAAAATTCACCAAAGAATTTTCCCATTTTACACCAAATTTGAGTTTTTATCAATGACAAATCGGTTCCCAGATTCTTCTTTCGAATAAAAGTGCATTTTGTAAGTTTTTTACGTTAAAAATAAATAGTCGAAAATTTCAACAGCGCCGAAATCATCGAAACACCTTAAATAACAATATACGTCATCGAGAGTTCGTGAATAATCAAATGAACCACTTAAATGGAAAATTGCGTAACAAATGATAACCGAGTGGGAGTACAAGTATCAAAGGTTCATACAAATGTATGAATCTCTCTGGGAGGTGGATGAGATGAATACAGTCCATAGCGCAAAATATCTATATTTAAAGTGATGCTATTTCAAAAACAGCTTCGTGTCGTTCTACAAAAACTTGAGAATCCACGCGAGGCCACTGAGACCTTCATCATCGGATTGTTTGTCAGGTTTAAACCAGTCTCTCTACTTTTTAGTAAAAAAATAACTCTTGCTAATCACCCTATATCCCCATTAATTCTGCGTCCATTGCCCCAAATTACTCGTTAAATGACACATCGAACTATTGACAGCATTCGTCCACTATCAGGACGTAATGATGTAACCGAAACACCGATGAAAACAACTGTAACTCATTCATTAAACACTGCATTGTTAGAAATCTTTTTAATATTCGTTAACGGTTTCACCCAAATTCTCAATACTAGAGGTTTCAAAGATATTCTGCCCCCTCTTAGCTAAAATTACTGATATTTTCACTTTTTTTAAACAAAGTGTTGTTTAACAATTTCTAATATAATTTCATGAGTCTTTAAAAATAATGGCGAAATGCAAAAACGGTTTTTTTTTCGCTTAATTCGGTCAACAATTTGTCGGAATGTCCGCAATTTAGAATAATAATTTGATAATTTCATGATAATTTCATCATGATAATTTCAGTACAAGGCAGATACCACGATAAAAGCCGGAGTAATCGTTAAGATGACTGAACTGCTTGATGAATTGAATTATAATTCGCTCCCCTTGGAAGTCAATTACGGATGTTGACCTGTATAGCACGTCACCCTTGAACACGAAAGATTATCAACGTCCCTCGGTTTTTGACCTCACTTGAGGGTCAGGCACTCGAGTTGTTACTCAGCATCCGAAAAGTCGTACAAAAAGAAATGATACCTCCCAGACGTCTGGATATACTATCAATGAGACCGATTACGTCTGTCTCGGGTCGAAGTGTTCGTACATGAAAGAAAGTCGACTCGAATTCATTCTGATTGAGGCCCATGAACTTTGTCAATTGGAGAGAGGCTTTGGTTCAGAAGGGGAGAGTACATTCGGCCCACAAAAGTTTATTTCAATCCGTGATTATAGGGGGAGAAATTTTCGAGGCCAATTATTTATTCATTACTCTATTTTCTTCATTTTTTCATATTTTTCCTTTTCATTTATAATTTTTTCTAATATAATTGTTTCTTTTTTGAAAAGAGTGATCACTGTATATATTCTATTTCATTCCGTAAATTTTCTACTATTTTCGAATCATGACTTCAGGGTCACTCCTTGGGAATTCATTAAACATATTGGATTTAATTGAAAAGTTTGGGGGACACGACAAGAATGAAGGAAACGTTCTGGCGCAAAAAAAAATAATATATAAATCATATCATGGCAATGACAGTTTTTTGTAATCAGCAGATACATCGAATCAAAAAAAAATCCAGAGGCTTTCTCACCGCATAGAGCACAGTCTGAAGGGTCCACGATCGAGGACGTCAGACCCTCGACGAAGGCCGAGGAATCCACTTCAATTCAATCGAATCACCAGGAAAACAGGAACAGGAGAGCTGCACAACGGAGAAACAGGAGGAAACGACCTTCGAGCTTCGATGCTTCTCTGATTGTGACAAATGTTAGTAAAACTGGTATCACGGCTGCGAGAGTTGTTTCCTCAACCCCCAGTACTTTAACGAGACAACAAGCACCTGGCTGGGATGATTCATCAGCCTCCAGCACTTCATCAAGTGAAGGTAATGCAGATATAAGAATAAATAATTAATTGGGAAGTTATAAATTGAACAGATACCTTTTCTATACATCATACTAGATTATAATATTTCCAATTTCCAAATGTCCTAAAATCGATTCTGTAAAAATTGATAACTGAAATTACTTGAACTTCTGAAAATTTCTGTCTACAAAATTTGGAATATTCATTACGATTTTGCTCGTACGTTTTGTTTTAAGGGGTTTTTTGATCCACTCAATGTACCCAACATTTTTTTTGATGATGTTCTGTAGAATGTGATTTGGACGCTAGAGCCGAGAGGATTGGATCAAGTGAGACTCGCGGTGTCCTGGAAAAAAGACATGAAGCGAGATCAATGAAGTTTGGAATGTCTGCAACCGAGGAGGCAGCATTCAGGATGACAGTTGGTCGAGGCCACTTCAGTAGATCAAAGAAAGACAAATTTCTCAATCATCTGAGGCTTGAGAAACGTCTCAACGGCTTGAATCGTGAATTCTTCGAGTTAGCTTGTCGGCCACATTCACGGCCACAAGTCGACATTACTTCCGCGATCTGAGACTCGTATACGATTTGAAGTACTTCTGGTACAATCGAAGTAATACCGAGTCAGTGAATCAAAAGAAAATAATCGACTATGAGACGGGATTTCTGTATCAAAACCCATGGATTTCAAAACGTCGCACTTAAGACTGAGAATTTTCAATCTCGAGTTTTTATAAACCGTTTTAGCTTTAAATTAATACTAGTCTCATATAGCCGAAAAGTCAAGGAGATGAATTAGCAATAATCAGTAATTATGCAAGGCAATTTTAATAATTATTGTTTGACAGTTCATTTGTGAATGTCGATTTAAATTCAGATAACCTAGCGTTGCCTTGAGAAGCAGAAAATTCCCAAAATGATTTGACGATTGTAGATACGAGAGTGTGATGTTCGAATTAATATTTCTACGTTTGTAATAAAAGTATTATTGCTAATGATTTCTCTTCATTTGTGATAAGATTCGCCTGCTGGTGAGCGTGCAAAGGATATTCATGATAATAATGAAGAGAGTAAAGATTGGAATTGAAGAGAGAATTTAATACCGAAGCATACTGATAGAGAATTTATTTTAGTAATGAAATGAGGAAATTGATGACTAATTAATAAGATGTATGCTATGTGATTGACGAGCAGACGATCTGACCAGAGACTGAGAGAGAAATGCTTATTAATAATCACTAGGGGAGAGTATGATGAAATGGCCATCGAATTACCAAAAAGGTCTGAGCGCCTTTCTCCCATAATTTAATAATGATATTTAATTTTGAATTTTATTTTACCCATTGAACTTATCTGAAGAGCAAAGAGATCATTACGACGTAAGGTTTCTTGGGAGTCCGTCCAGTGGCGCAACTGTGACCCCAACAAGTAGTTCAACCCCAGACATTGAGAAATTGTTTAATGATCACTTGATCAGTCATACTGAGGTTCTCAACAAGGACGGATTTCAAATATTCAATATCATTTGTACTATTAATTGAACTTGTTGTAAAAATACTCGTAACACTTCTATCATGTATATTTTCAACGTGAAAATTATATTTTTATTTTTTCTAATAAACGATTATCAGTACACGAGGGTTTTTGGATTGATACCAGTGCCAGTTGTATTGTGGCATGGCATGGGTAAGTTGTTTTTTTCGTGTTATCGGGATTGCAGTAGACGAAGGTCAATTCTGCCGTGATTCAGGGCGAGGCCAAACAGCCGCCAAGGACATGTGTTCATTGTCATGGCCGAGGAGTTTATTTCTCATTAGCGGGAATCCCTGTATTTCTCGTGGGTCGCGAGTACGCGTTATGTCAGAGCGGAAACATTTGATTTACTCATTGGAATGTCGGTGATAACAGGATTGAAGGATTTCCCAGAAATGCATGACACATCAATACTGATTGAACTTTTCAAACTTACTTCAGAAATAAAATGTTCCCCTTTAAGAATCCAGAATAAAAGGGATTCTGTATAATGTGTAAAGACATAGTTTGGGAAATAGAAGTTGTTTATATGAGATTTTATCGAAGTTTGATGACAGTAATAGTGAGTTTAGTAGATGAATAAATGGAAGAATAGTTCCTCCGTCTATTTCCTTTTCCTTGACTGTGAAAGAAACAAATGATTAAAACCGATATTTAACATTAGGAGACAGCTGTTGTTTTTCCTTCAGTCTAGGACAGATTAAAACAATAATAGAAGAAGAAATACCTGGTGTTTATGTGAAATCTGTTAGAATTGGAGATGATGTAGTGGAGGTGATTATCTAACATAAGTCCACTTATTATCCGTTAATTCCACATTGGGTAAACGATTAATTTCGAAATTGATTGATAGGACGTGAAGAACAGTTACTTCAGGAATGTGAATGACCAGGTCAGGGAAGTTTGTGAGGACCTCGCGAATGATGAGATGTTGCAGGATGGATACAATGCCATTGGTTTCTCTCAAGGAGCACAATTTTTGTAAATATAGGATCGTTCCACTGTGGGAGGTGGCGAGAATATACCGGGGGTAATGTTTTAATTCTTGATGTAGACGGGCTGTAGCTCAGAGGTGCCCTGCTCCTCAGATGAAGACATTAATTTCTTTGGGTGGACAACATCAAGGAGTTTATGGATTACCTAATTGTGGATCCATGGAGCATCGACTCTGTGATTATCTGAGACGAGCCTTAAATTACGGAGCCTATCTGAGGTAATAATCCCTCATGTGATAATGTAATCATAGATAAGTAAAATCGATCATTCCAATTAACATTATTCTATTAACGGACTTCCGCAAAGAGTAAGAGGGAATAAAAAGAAATGCACAAAAGAGTTCACATTTTCAGTGTACATCTGGATAGGGACGAAAAATATGTAGCCAAAGTCCGAAAACAATGGGCTACATTAGTTTATTTTTAAATTGATTATTTAAGACATGAAAGATAAGACAATAAGACAAAAATAATCAACAATCGCTAAAAAATCCAAAAACCTGCCCAATTTTTACTCCGTAAACTAATCAAGAATAAATAAATAAAAAATTTTCTTCGCTTCAGATTCATTCAAAATAGATTCGTCCAGGCTGAATACTGGCACGATCCCTTGAAAGAGGAAGAGTACAAGAAAAAAAGTGTATTTTTAGCTGATATCAACAATGAATTGACAATTAACGAGGTATAAATATGGAGAACGTTCATTTGAACTGTTTCTGTGAATAATTTATCATGATTTTAGATGTACAGAAACAACTTGAAAGCCCTTAAAAAATTAGTTCTTGTTAAATTCTCCAATGACACGATGGTTCAACCACGTGAGAGCGAGTGGTTTGGATTTTACAAGCCTGGTCAAGCAATCGAGCTCCAGACCTTGCAAGAATCTGCGCTTTACACAGAGGTAATAAAATTAAAAAACCTTCGCGAAAATCAAATGATTTTAATAATGAAAAAATCGTAGGACCGTCTGGGGCTCCAGGACATGGACAACAACGGTCAGATCGACTTTCTATCAATCGAAACAAATCACCTGCAGTTCACCGACCACTGGCTGAAGGAAGAAATAATTAAAAAATATCTCATCTAAACTACAATCCAACATACTCTTACCAAATTACCTGAATGATCCTACGATACTCCAATACTTCCACAATTTTTTTTATATTGCTCTATAATTTTCAAATAGAAATTGAAAACCTTGATACGTTACCGCTCGCGCAAGTTTATCCGCAATTCTCTTTCATTCCATCCCCAAATTTTCAATTTATCGACTGCACATCATATCAGGTGCTGCCCCCTCTCTCAGATAAATAACCAGCTGAGTCTCCCGATCTCACCCCAATTCCACCCCATTCAAATTCCTGTCCCGTACTTTATCTAATAAAATCACAATCAGTTCACCCATCATCTTCAACGATCGTGATAAGCTGCTGGAAGCTTCCCTTTAGAGCGCTATCCGGTTTGATCCGTCCTTATTTCCTCCAAAGATTTGCGAAAATAATCGAAAAACTCGCATTTGCATGGAGCCACCCCCATCGACAACAGAAGAAAAAAAATCTCCAAAACATGTGTACGTGAATGTACACGACTGATGCCCCATTAAGAGATTACATTATGGAGTTCACTTTATGCTCTCTCGTGTCTACAAATCTGCAGCCTCCCCCTTCCACCCTCTTCCGCCATCCAGACCTGACAGATGGGCGTAGATTTAACGAGATGAGCGGCATCCTTGGAAATAAAAAAGCGAGCTCGTCATTGTGAGAGCGTTGGGGGTCTCGCGTGGATAAACATGTTTGTATGCAAAAATTTCATACCCCAACCCCCGTCCTACCGCTATCACAAAAAACGGTCATCATATGATTACACTACCCTTCCCCTCCCCTCCCTCACCACTTCAACTCGTGCTTTATCAATCCCATTTTTTCCAGCTTTTTTTCTTTATCTCTTTTGGCCATTTCACCTCGCACAACCCCTTTCCTCAACGGGCAACAGACATTACGAGATGAGATATCCCTCGACGAGAATCGCGTCAAGACTTTTGACGCCCTTTTTATTTTTTCATTTTTTTTTGTGTTTCAAACAGTATGAGTTCTCTTTTCCTAGCTTCGTTCTTATTCTTCGAGTTTTACTGGTTTTTTTTATAAAGTTTTTTTTTTTACGCGTTGACGTTTTGTCCTGCGCTCTCCTCTTTATTTTTCCCCATTTGTTTTCATTCTTTGTTCAACGCCAGCGATTTGCGACTTTTTCATTTCTTTTGGCAGGGGGGGACTTTGTGGTGGGAGGAATCATTGAATTTGATTTTGTGGATTAAGGAATTGAAAATCGTCCTCAACTAATGGGATTGAGGGGGAAAAAAAATAATGAAAGGCATTTTGTAAATTCTAATCACTCACGGAATGAGAGAGCTGTGAGTTCTCTTTACAATTGGGATTGATTTACTCATTAAATAGTAAATAGAAAAAGAGAGAAGTGCTTTCATCAGGAAATACAGTTCCTCGGGGATGACGAAATAATAATAATAAAATTTTTTTAATTCCTTTAATGCTACAAATGGTTTTTCTTTGTTTTACCTCCGGGATGAAGAAACATAAACAATGGATTATTAAATGAAAAAATTAGCAGAGACAAGACCTAATGGATAAGAGAGAGGAATACTAGCTTTAATCTTTTACCCCAGCTCTTTTCATCCACTCGCATCACTCATTTTTTTATTCACATTTTGTTTGTGCTTGTTGTTTTATTTCTGTGTAAACTCGCGGAATACCGCAAGTACGATTAGCTTATTATTCCATGGCTTTGTCGAGATTTTTTTTTTTTTTTTGGATCAAAGCGCTCCGCCCTTCCCTCCCGGAGGAAGTATGAAAACAATGACTGTCTATCGGCATTCGGAGCCCTTCCATTCTCTTTTTCACTCAATAAGAAAAAAATGTGGATTTTAACAGCATCATCGGGATGTGAGAATTTTTCATTCACGGAAATCCTTGTTTTAATTAAAAAAGTAGCCATGAGCTAAAAATTGATGAAAGAGGAACGATAATTCGTATTGATATTCCAACGAAAACTCGGCTTTTGGTGGCAAAGGATGTGGGAATTGCCTCTTGGCTATATTACGTATTAACGATGTACACGATAGGGTATAATGTCTGCTAATCACGAATTTGAGATATGTCATATTCTGGAGTATTCATGTTTGTTCTGTCATGTCATCCACCGACTGAGGGAATATCGCGCGTATATCCTCACTACATTCCACCGAATAGTTGGAAGTTAATTAAATCCCCTTTGATAGTCCATCTAAAGAAAAACCCATGTCTCAATAATTACAATGTTTTTACATATTTGTCAAATATATTGTATGTACATTTATGCTATTCGTTGCTTCAAGTTAATGTCGAACAATAACGCTATCTCCCAGCAATTGTTAATCTGAATCAGATCAGGAATTCAGGATAAGACATTCCGACTGATTCCGGAAATTAAACGTAAAATTTCCACAATTTCTCTACTGCAGTCATTTGATTTTTATAAAAAATGATTTCCAACGTTAATATTCAGAGCTGAGTTCACGCTTGAACAACTTTGAAATATAGAATATCCTTGGTATTTAGCTGGTTGTTCCCCTGGTGAAATGAAAGCTTTTGTTTGACGATGATTGATGTGATTTTTAGAGCATTTAAAAGATTGGCTTGCGCCAATAGACGCAGCATTTACCACAGTTGGATACTCAACCGAAACAATGCGCTGAGAGGCTCCATACGATTTCTCTGTCTCCATTTTTTTTTTCCTTTTTTTTTCACTTACCAGTTGGCTATTCGTATTACACGATTGTGGAGCATCAACGGATAGCGATGTATAATATACCCTGTTGTTCCAGCATCCCTCCACTCTTTCGGGCACCGCCTCCCACGTTTGCCATTCCTTTTCAGCGTCGGCGCGACATCCCCCAGACCACCGAGAAGAACTTTCCAATGAGAGGGAAAAACCAGAAACTCAAAATGAAAGAAACGTTGGGAATAATGATCCGCAGGATGAAATGATAAATATGGATTCTGTTCCGCGGGCCTTTGTTGAGAGAGCATCTAGTACTGCTACTAATGGACCTACTCTATTTTTTTAATATGCAGAATTGACGACGGGATGTCAGCAATTGCTATAGGAAAGTGGGGCATATGAATTTTTGCGAAACTGGATATTTAAGTACTTTGTCCCAACCAATTTCTGCTTACAATTTTCACAATTCCTCATGTTAGGAAAAATTCTCTAGTTTCATCAATTATTGAGATGAATCACTGGCTCGATACTGGAATCTCAGTTTATTCCATAGAATTGGAAGTATTTATTTGTTCAAACTAATTTGGTATTACTCATAGGGGATAAAAAAGTGGACGGAATGAGTATTGAACCCGATCTAACGTTAATTTTTAGTAAAATAATGAGTGAAACAATAAATCTGCTTAAATTAATTGAATAAAGTAAATACATTACTTCAAAAAATTAATTTCCAGTGTTGACTTTCATTAGGCAATTAGAACAGAGCGGGAAATTAATTGAAATCCATAAAATTAACAATAAAAAAGGAGACAGTTAAACCATGCACAGAGAGAAATATTCAATAAAAATTACGTGTATTTTCCTTAATTCTGGAGCGAAATGTAGTTGGAAGTTTTACGGAACTGTCACGTAATTTTTATCTCAAGTCACGGAATTTTTCTGCGGTGTTCCGTAATTTTTATCTGAATTCCGATAAGTGAACTGAAAATTCCGCAATTTTTACTAAATATGTCTCTCCGCGTGAAGACAGATTTTTGAAAAAAAAAATCAAAAAATCAATAAGTACATTGAATTCTAATTAATACCGATGACCAATCACAATTCTTCGATTCAAAAGTAAAAACGAAATAAAAATACCAAGTAAACTTATCAAATAGTCACTTAACGAATATTGGATTTCCATCCATTCTGTGTTCTCAGCGATTGAATAAAAACTCGAAAAATATGTGGTCCATTGTCTGCACGCGGATTAATTTGTCGAGATGAGAATCACCCATAGAAACTTGGTTGTGATTACATTTGATGATTTGACTCTCAATGAATCATATACCGGGGTTCCTTAGCTGACCCCAAACATGTGCGTACTATGGGATTAGTTTTCATTGAGATGTGACTCCATAGAAGAATACACGAGGGTGAGGTCCTACGGATGTGTAAAAGGGAGTTTTCAGTGATGATTTGAGAATTGGTCTGGTACTAAAGTCCTGGTCCTGATTGTTCCCTAGCGGATACGTCTCCCACGGGACCAACTCAATTACACAAAATTAGTCTCGACTCAACGCACTCCGTGACTTCAAACATGCAATCATCTTACACTCATACACGTCATAACACTTTTCTCTAGAATTAAAAAGCACAATGGGGGAAAATAAATTCACTTGAGTTGGATCCAGAAGTTTTTTCGACTCGTGTGGGGCTGATATGGTTGAATTCAATTCGACAGAACTGCGGCCAGACTCCCTGGGGTGTGACGCTCCATTATTTCCATCTCAATTAATATTTTAATCAAGCCTCTCCTCATTCTCTCCATTCGTGAAAATCACCCTCCTCCCAATATATTCTAAACAATGCAAAAAAACAACACGTCATCAATGTGTTGGTTTCATTTATCAGTGGTATGCGTAAAACAAGGTACGTAATTTGATATTTTTAACAAATCAGTATTTCCACTGAAAAATAAAATAACGTTAACATAAATCTTTGATTAGAAAGTGAAGAAAACTAAGCAGCTTATCAAATTATATGATATGTTTGAGTAAAAATATATCATAAATAGCTAGTAAATAATAACAGAAATAAATGCTCGAATAGACTCTATTTCGATTTTAATCGAAATAAGTACAAATTGAAGGCATCGTCTGGTAGTTTGGATGAGGAAAAGGCAAATCCAAAAGATGAAGGGAGATGGAGGTATGGGGAGACTGGTTAGGGAAAATCCTAGCGAATCATACCCGGCCGCCAGTAAACAATGCCCATTGTCCGGCATATCATTTTCTGCACTCATCCGCCATTTCCTCACTCATCCCTCCAACAGTAGAGAGGGTAGTGCTCGCGAATTCGCTCGGCCGTTTCGCGCTCTCCACGAATGAATACTGTTCCACCCGCAGTTTCAGCTTTTTTCACCTCCTCTGCACTGCTTCTTCCTCCTTTTTTCCTCT